AACAATGAATCAGTAATTGTAACTGACAGAAAAAAATTAAGAAATATTCCTGGTGCGTTAATCTAAATCCTTGCTGTCTTGGTCAAATACTCAGTTCTTACTCATTATTAAAAACCTGAGGGAGGTTTTTATTTTGTGTCAAGACCTGCCATTGTATTTGTGGTTTCACATGCCACTTCCAGGCTCCATAGTGATGGAGGACAGCTTAATTTAAACAGTGAAGGAAATGGTGTAATTTTTTCTAGTAAGGCTTTCAATGTTGTTAATCAGCAGAGCAGCCCAGCAAGAGACACAAGGGAGATGGTGATGGCGTACTTCTTGAAGACATGGAGGTAGAAACCGGGCTGTTTGGAAGAAGTGGACCTGAAAAGCCAGATCTCCCAGCAAACCAAAAGGAAAAGGCGTCTACCAGTCGAAAAGACATCCCCAAAGTTTTCCATGACAGCAGTAAAGATAATGTGACCGTCTTTGTCAGCAACCTTTCCTACAACATGGCAGATCCCGAAGTGAAACTGAGAGCGCTTTTTGAGAGCTGTGGGGAGGTGGCAGAAATCCGTCCAGTATTCAGCAACAAGGGGACTTTCCGGGGCTACTGCTACGTAGAATTCAAGGAAGAAAAATCTGCTCTTCAAGCTCTTGGCTTGGATCGTAAAGTTGTGGAGGGAAGACCAATGTTTGTTTCTCCATGTGTTGACAAGAACAAGAATCCAGACTTCAAGGTAAACTTTTATTCTTTCAAGTAATAGGTTGAACAGCGGAACTCCATGGGGAAGCTAGCAGAGTATGTGGCTTCCAGAGTGCTTGCATCTAATGAATTCATGCTGTGCCAGCTCGGAATGATAATGTTATGTCTTAGCAGTAAAACTGTTTTCTGGGAGTTCTCGCATCTTATGTTACTTTGCCATGAACCAGGATTGACGTTATCAGATTTGTGCAAATCTTGAGTAAGCTAATCTAAGCGGTTTGTTAATGGTCTGATGTACCCAGTTTCCTACTTGAGCATCTCAGTCTGTACTTTCTTGGTTGAGTCATACAGCTGTGGGCATTTGTTACACAATCCACTGGTTCTTGATAATGGTCTGTACTAGAAATCAGTTGTATAATCAGTGGTTTTCTGCATTACGGAGTTTTTATACCAAAAAACTTAACAGTTGAGATATTGATAATGTCACCTTGCGCAGCTGTCACTGGCTGCCCTCATTGTGAAGGAGACATAAGTGTTTAGAAGCATTTACTTGCAAGTCCTTAGTGTATGTCCGGATGTTTATATGTAAATATCTTTCAAGACGCTACTTGTGACTTGAAGGTGTTTTTGTATCACACAAATATGAAGTACTCTTAAGCTTCTGGAGGTGTAATAGATTGAAATTCTTGGAGTGTCTGACTGGTTTGGTATTTAACAGCCTTTTAATTTCTTCAGGTGTTCAGGTATAGCACTACAATGGAGAAACATAAATTGTTTATATCTGGTTTGCCGTTTTCCTGCACTAAGGAAGAGCTGGAAGATGTGTGTAAAGCACATGGCAATGTGAAAGACATTCGGCTGGTCACCAACCGAGCTGGAAAACCCAAGGTAAGCATCCCTAACGCACTCTTAATTTTAAGAAATCCCTCAAAAGAGCTTCTTCATGAAGCTTGGATACAAAATGTAGGTTTTGTATTTTAAAAGTTGCCAACATGGGTTGGCATTAAAACTTGTAGAAATGCTTGGATTTATACAGTCCAGTGTGCCTTTTTGCCAACAAATAAGGAGGAGGGGAAAAGGAGTTTTTCCAGAATACTTCTTAACTTGCCCAAGAAGAATGTATGATATAAATGGCATGGAGGGGAAGATGTTTACAGAACTTTCAGTATAGTAAAAATAGGCATTGGTAGGTCTGCAAAGAATATTTGTTTTTAAAATAACTGACTAAATAGGCTTCACCTGGTATAACTGATTCTCCTGCTCCCTTTCTTCAGTTTCTTGAGGCTATTGTTCATAACAGCTGCTACAATAATAGATTTGCCAGTCAGAAACAGAGCCACCTCTCTGACAGGGCTTGTTATTTCCATCTGGAATAAATGACTCCTTGTTAAATAAGAGATTCTAAACCTGCTGCTGCTCTGCCAAAATTCTACCTGACACCTCAGCCATGTCTGCATGTTGGGCACTTCTAGCAGGTACCATCCTGCTGATGATGTGCATGTATTTTTAAAATGTATTTTCTAGCTCTTGGCAATATCTCAAGTACAGTTTGAATGCATGCCTTATAATGAGTCCTCTCATCTGTACCCCAAGTCTTGCAAGCCATGTTGTGAGTGTGGTTTGAGCTGGGATTTTGTCTAAACCACAAATTTACTTCGAATGTTATATAAAATCCGATGTGTTTCCTGTGAAACTGCGTAATCCAAAAATACAGCTTAAGGGTTTGAATGGCATTTAGAAGAATAACAATAATAGAACTGGGAGGTGATGCCTCCCAACTAGTGAACCGGCAGTAGGAGCCTGCTGTAGCAGATGCTGGGGGTGCCCTTTTGTCTGTTTGCTGGAAATAAGACCCCGCTACCGACAGTGTGCCAGCAGCAGTTAGCAGCTGGCTACCGGGGCGGTTAGCAGCCGTTCCTGCATGAAGTCAGCACAGATCCATTTCCTGCTAAGAACATTTTTGTCACCAGTCGCTGTTCTTGGGGCAGCAGCTCCCATCTCTCCAGGGGACAGTGCCTGCCAGTTCTGTTGGAGCTGCTTAAAACGGGGTTTACTTGAAACCAAGGTGGCTGCAGTGGCCCCGTGTTAGTGGACTCGATTCCTTAGGTACAAAAAACTGTAGCTTAGTGAAGAATCACAGGAGAGTTTGTGTGGATATTTCTGTTCTGGCACCATAGTTTAATTAATCTTCCACTATGAATCCAAATCTGTCCAATACCAGATTCCACCTGTATATATGTATAATATACATTTAGAAGTGAAGCCTTGCTACTGATGTAGTACTTCATTATATTTACTTCACTGGGATCTTGTTTTGTTTTGTTTTTTTTTTTTTTTTTTTTTATACCTCTTCCACAAATTAGGGCATCATGAAAGAGCCAAGAAATACAGGCTGTAGATTTGCGTACGTAAGAATTTTCTTAGCTAAAGAACACTGGGACTCTTAGCCACGTTTAGGTCTGCTTTCTGTATGATTTTGCTTAGCAGTTGGCCAAATTATTCACAAAAGCTGTTGTGCAGAGAAAGAAGCACTAAAACTAATGTAGGTTACCCCTTTTCGCTTTTTAGGGCCTGGCCTATGTGGAATATGAAAACGAAGCTCAGGCCTCGCAAGCTGTGCTGAAAATGGATGGCCTGACAGTCAAGGAACATGTCATCAAGGTGGCGATCAGTAACCCCCCTCTGCGGAAGCTGCCGGACAAGCCTGAGGCAGGCAGAGCCTCGCAATTTGCGGTACCACGACAGATCTACGGAGCGTAAGTATTAGTGAGGGAGGCTGCTTGGCAGCGCTAAAAAAGGAAACACTGGGTTTCTTGGTACACTAAAATGTATGAATCTCTTCTAGAATATGAGAGAATATTTAGAAAGTGCTGAACCGTAAAAAATTGGGTTGCTGGATTGATGAGGAAAAGCAGATTTTTCTCCTTTATCAATAAAACCAGGTCCAATGCTGGGTGCTCAGTCACCACAGCCATCCTGTTAGATCTGATGTTGACACCTGAGCGCTAGTAACTTCCATGTCCTCTTGTTGTGGAGAACCAGCCACTGTTCACAGTGAGCATTAAGGCTGCTCTTTCATCTTTTAGAGTGCTCCTGCTGCTTAGTGTTCAACTGGCATTGCATTGTACATGCCCCACAGATAAACACGGAGCTTCAGTTTCTGGGGACTGTTGGGCAGTTGTTTTCTGCCAGGACTTAGGTATACTGTTTCACAGGGCACCCATTGAAAGGTTTGCACTACTTACTACTGAAACAAATGACAGGAGTAATATTTAAATGAGTGTTCCTCATAGTGAACAAAGTCCTTTTTGTTTCCTCAAGCTAAAACAGTATGTTCAGAGAGCACTGGGATATTTTTAAATGTCATTTTTTTGTTCTCCAGGCGAGGGAAGGGAAGGACACAGCTTTCAATGATGCCTCGTGCATTACAACGCCAGAGTAATCCTGTGGCTAAGGCTGAGAACGGGATGGTCCAGAACTCACCAGCAACTTCATCCGAACCCCCCGAGGAGGAGCCTAAAAAGATGTCCAATGCTGATTTTGCCAAGATGCTACTGAAAAAGTGAGCAAAAAGTCTGCAATCAGCGGGTCTGGTAAAATGTGAAATGCCTTTATGGAAGCCATGTTGTGTCCTTATGCTAGCAAGGAGAGAACGCCTGTCACAATCATGTGTAAATACTGTTCTGGACTACTGCATTCATCGAGATCAGTGTAGGATGGTACAAATCCAGTATTTTCCTCTGTTTCTAAGAGCAAAGAGTTATACTGTGTTGTGGTAAAATGGTGTTATATGATTCCTCATATTGAGGGTAACGAGGGGGGAAGTATTTCCTGTACAGGTTGGATGCCACATCAAGTTTTATGAATACTTTACAAATATTTCTCTTTCATTAACGAATGAGATGCAATGTGAAAGCCTAGTGTTAACTCCTAGTGTCTAGTGTCAAGCTCCACTGGTCAGTTTGGATTGTGATTGCAGTCATTCTCTCTGACAACGAACCCATTTTCCACCCAGACACCCACTCGCAGGGACATTCATCTCCTTCCATTAAGAGTTAAATGGCAGATGCTAGTAACTTCACCACAATGGCCTATTTTAGTATTGGGAGAGTTTCTATACATATGTGTGTATATGTATATACACAAATATACATATATATGTATTCAGTTAATGTTCTGTTCAAGTCAACCCGTTTTTTATATTGTGTATTTGTAAAAGACATTCAAATTATTATTTTTAAGTGTCATGAAATAATACTTAGATCTGGTAACTTTTGTTTCCCATAAAAGCTGTACATGCTCTCGCTGAGGACCATTTTTGGTTTTTTGGTTGTTTTTGCTAGCTAGCTCGTACGTCTCTTGCAGGTGGTTTCTGTATGGTTTTGTACAAATGTGAAGTGCAAGCTGGCGTTACTTGGTTTATTAAACTCAAGTTCTCAAAGGTTTTCTATAAATACTGTTGCTTTTGTTTAAATGTGGGTGTTGGAATTGCACTTATCCTCTGGCAGCTGGGTAATACTGATGTACCTCACCTCTCAGGTGCACTGAGATACACAGTGTCACTTATATACCTTTAAGTAGCTCATTCCATCTAGTATGAATATCCTGGAACCACTTCAGTAATCACCTCAGACTTTAAAATAATCTGGTACGTGATCTTGGATAGAAATATTACTGCTTGTCTGATTAAAACTGCTGCTAACTCTGGACTCCAGTCACCACCTCTGGGGGCTGAATGTGAGGGGGGGGCCCTGGTACCAAGTTCACTTGTACAACACAAGCACTGCTGCAAATAAACACACTTTTCAGTGCTTATGTTCTGTGCTGGTTTGCCTTGGCTTTACTTTGAACGGCTGAGTCTCCTACGGAGCTTTGAATCACGTCCTGGTGGCAGCTGGGGGGATGCAGCAGGGGCCCAAGTTCTGGCAGGGGTGGTCACAGGCGCTTTGGCTAGCTTGCCATCCCCTATTGTACTGATGGTACATGGGGATTGCATCTCCAAATCAGCTTGGAACCTTTCTACTAGCAAGTGAATGTGGAGCTTTTTGACCTGGGGGGTGGGGATGCTAAGGCTGGCCTTGCCCTGATGGCAGGCAGGCATGGACACAGCACCAGTGATGGATTCCAAGTTCCTGGGAGCTGCCAGGGCTGGGCACAGCTGAGGGAGCCAGGACCAGGCCTGTGTCACTGCTGTTTAGTTTGCTCACAGAAAAGTGTTTGGAATAGGCTCTGCTCAAAACAAAGACTTTAATATTAAAATAGTTTATTAATCTGTTACTAAAATAACATATTTTTTTTCCCCAGCGCTCTAAAGTGCAGATTTTATTTATACTCACTTTGCACTACAACAATAAGCACGCTTTATAAGGACAGAACAACCTTCCTCATTTATTGTTTGTTTTCCCTGTCAGCAGTAATCAGTACAGAAGCAGAGTGGTGCTGTAGCATATAGGTAACTCCCAGTCTTGTCCTGTTGTCCACTCATATAAAGCATATCCTAACTACCTTGCAGGTAAGAGTTAGAAGGGAAGAAACTTAACACTGGCCTGGGACAGTCTAGCAGCTTTGTGTTTAAGCTTAATAGCACTAGGCTGGAGTGAAGTTTTCTGAATTTAGAGGTGTTGGGATCAATTACACTGTTACACAACTGGCAGGCAGGGGTGTAGGGAATTGTTACTCTGTTAGGTTGCAGGTGCTTTTAACCTTAAAAGCAAATATAAAGTGCTGCTTTGGATTGCACAGCAGCTTCTAGGTACTACGCTAACTGCTACTGCAGCACAAAGAGGCCTCATGTGATTCTCGACGCATTTATCACAGTAAGAATATGACCTAGTAATTAACTGAAAAGTTCTTTTGTGTAGATTGAAGAACCTTAAGTTTTTGACAAACTTGCTATACACATTCTTACCAAATTGGCACAGCTGATAAAGGTGGTCTTGTGGCTATGTAAAATAACCTTTTCTAGCCCCAGCTTTGCAGAAGTTAACCCTTTTTCAAACCCTAAACTGAAATGTGTAGGGACAGTTGCAGTTCCCCAGGGATTCCTGGGGTCTGAGGCAAGGCCTCCGAGCAGTAGGTCATCCTGCCTGAAGCAGAGCAAAAGCACCCCGCAGTTCAGTGACATGAGACAGAGAGCATTTCTTCTCTTGTTCCAGTCCATCATCTGTAATCTTAAACCAAATACTTCCCACTTGTTGTACAAAACTCACCCCTAGGAAAGGCAACTGAAAGTAAACATGCAAAGTGCTACTGAAAGCAGAAATGGGAGGGGAGAGATGCCACTGAGCTGGTGTTTGGCCTCCTTCCTGATCAGCACTGTCAAACCTGTACGGCTGCCAGGAAAGAGTCGGATTTACAGAGCTGGAGAGGCTGTTACTGCAAGGGTTGTGAGGTTTTGGTTTTTTGGTTTTGTACCACAAAAGCAACAACTTGGTTAAGACTGTCTTGCCTAGCAGCTCCTTGGCAAGGTAAGACTTGATTGAAGCAGCTTCTCAAAGCTTAATTTTAAGGAGAAATTAAATTCTGCTTCAGCTTGTTGAACCCATCTGACACCTCTCCCCCCCTCCTTTCAGTAGCACAAGCAAGTTCTAGTGCACAGTCAACATCAACAGTTCACATTTCAGCTTGGCATAATGTATATAAATAAATTATATTAATTTAATCCAATAAGACACTTTAAATAAATGAAATGCTAAAGAGTGACACCTGTCGAGTTATTTCCCAGCAGGAATACTGAGTGGTTTGGCATTCTGTTCTCCCACACGTTCACTGGCTTCTGAACGTCCCACAACCCTCAGGCCTTGATGGGGATCGTTTGTTTGCATCCAGCAGTGCTGCCATCTGCTTCAGGTAAGCCCACGGAGTATTCCGTGGTGGCAATGAGCAACATGTCCAGAGTTGTCTCGGTACACTTAGCAATAAAGCGTATGAAAGGCCTCACGTCACCCTCATTGGCAACTTCCAAGACGTGGTAATACTCGGCCCGTTGCTCCTTGCGGATTGTGATGGGCGGGTAGCCTGCCTGCATCAGTATGAGGTTCATTAACAGGCGCGAGGTCCTTCCGTTGCCATCTACAAACGGATGGATGTAAACCAACTTGTAGTGGGCTAACGCAGCAAATTCCACAGGGTGCAAGCTCATGGCATCTTCCGAGTTAATCCACTGCACAAACTCCTGCATCTGTTTCTCGACGTCCTGGGGATGTGGTGGTATGTGATGTCCTACAAAAACCTGAGTAGTCCTGAACCGCCCTGCCTCCACCGGGTCGGCGTAGCCCAGCACCCTCCGGTGTATCTCCAAGATGTCAGTGATGGTTACGGAGCCTATCCGCGATACCAGCGTGGTGTTGACGTATTTCAAAGCCGCGTGCATGCCGATCACCTCATTCTGCTCCACTAAGCTCTTGCCAGGGACGGCGTATCTGGTCTCAATGATGTGTCGTATTTCTGACAGCGTCAGCGTGTTTCCTTCAATAGCAACCGTGTGGTAGATGTGGTGGTAGTAGGACTCCTCCATCACTCGGCGCAGGGCAGAATTGCCTTTGGGGATTGCCATCACTTTTTTAACCTTGCTGTCAATAATGCTAAAATACCTCTGATCTATCTCTTCAACTAAAGGTAGAGTCCGGTCCCGATTGATCAAAGCCTTCTCGTTGCAGGGAGAAATGGTTAGTGCTTTGGAGTATAAATAGTCGGCTTGAAGAATGTCTTTTTCCTCTTCAGAAAAGATACCAAATTCATTCAGGGCATCTACGTAATCGGGGTCCATTTTGAGGGCGTACACAAAGAGTTTGTGGGCTTTCTCCCGCTTTCCTTGGCGCTTCATTTCGAGGGCTTGATTCAGAGCTGCTTTGGCTTCTAACTTCACTTCTGAAACGCAACAACAGTTAGGTAAGAGGGTAGTGAGTTTTACTGAAAACCTCTGGAAACCGTCACCGTTCACCGATACAAAAATTAAATAAAACCAGTCTATAAGAACCGTAGCAGAGAACTTTTATTCCGGGCTTTGCCAGGCTATAAGCACAGAGGTTTATGCCACGTTTACAGGCTGAGTATGCAGCAGCGGAGCTGTGCCTGGCAGGCACCGTGGCTCACGCTGGCCACAGGCACCGAGCCATCCCGGCAAACCCCTCTTTGGCCACCAGGCTGCTTTGTGTGGGCGGACACAGAGTCTTAAATACATTCTCTTGGCATTAAGGCCAGTTCTCTTGCTAGAAGCACAGCCCAGAGCTGCTAACAGCACTCTATCTGCGTTTCTTTTTTTTCACTGAACTATCAAACACCTTCCCAGCAATTATAGCTTTAATGCAAACAATGATAAAGTGCTGGAATTTTAGTGATTTCTTTGCATGTTTTCCAAATTAATGTCCTGGCCAATAAAGGCAATGACTGCAGTCTGTCATTGCCAGAAAGGCTGCCTTGTGACAGCCAGGATTTCATGACTGTATCCCAGGTTACTGTGTATTAAAACATCACTCCATATTCTAGTTAGTTTAACAGAACTTACTAATGCCGAAAGCATGAGGAAAAACTTCTGAGAGACAAAGCAGCACTGAGAGGTGGCCAGTCCATCGCCGCCCTTCTGCAGTGCAGAGCAGTGGAATGCAGCCAGGCTGGCAATGGCATGTCTGACCTCTGGGTCATTTACAGCCGACATTAATTTGCAGTTGGGCAGTGAGAGCTCGTTAACGGGGTACAGGAGATCATCGGGGGGGGGGGGGTGGGGGGTGGGGGGGTGCGGGATGTGGGAGCAGGGGCAGATCTCCAGACATGGGTTGTTGCTCTACAGCAACTCAGCTGTTCCCCTGCGCCCCCCCCGGGGACACTCTTACCTGTGGATGCTTTGCCTTTCAGCACCAGCAGCTCCAGCCCGCTGGAGGTCACGCTCAGCCCAGTTGTTTGTCCCGTGTATCTGGTGACACCAGAGGAGCCCGTGCCCAGTTTGCTTTTCAAGAAGGAGAGTCCTTGGAGCACTGCATGGCACTGGTCTTCCACGGCAGCCAGCGGGAGCAGCAGCATCACGAGCGAGCCCAGGAGGAGCACAAGCAAGGCCGCCCACCTGATGCGGGCCCACAGGGTTATCCATTTCAGCTCAGGATCTGTCGCCATAGACACGAGATTCATCCTGCTTCCAGCGCAGCCACGAGAAACATCTCTCCCACAGCTCCCACCTGGGAAGAGAAAGAGCTTCAGCCACAGCTCCAGAGCAGGTGTGGTGCTGGAGATGTGGCACCTGAGCACACTCGCTCTGGGTTTGTCCCCAGCTGTTCAGGGTCACCCCCAAGCACCCACCTTTCCCTGCCACCCTCCCCGAGCGCACCGGGGCAGGCCACGTGCAGCATCCAGCGTAAGGCAAATCCTTAGGGGACCCGCTATACGTTACTGCGGCGGCATGAGGAGCCGCCGATGCCCGTGAGCAGCGCCAGGCTCCGAGCTGGGCCAGCACCCGCAGGGATGAAGGGGCTCTGTCCCGCACAAGCACGGCACAGCCCCTCTCCCTCCCCCAGGCCTGCCACCCCCCGAGGCTCCACGCTCCTACGCGTCCATCCCGCTGCAGAAATTCCACCCCAACCCCCCATATTCCTTCCCCCCCTCTCAGTTCCCCCCCCCCCCAGCTCTCCTTCCCCTCAGTTTAGCCCCCCCCGCTCTTCCGACCCAGGTCTCCCCTCAGGCCCGCCGGGATCCCCCCCCATCACCTTTGCCGCTTCCCAGAGCCGCCGGCAGCCGGCTGCGGTACCTCCGCCCCCCGCGCCCTGCCATTGGCCGCACCGCCCCTCTCCTCCTTTTCTATTGGCGCTCGCAGCGGATCCGTCTCTTATGCCCCGCCCCCCCTTCCTGCTCGTGACTTCCTGGCGGCGTCTTCCGGGTAGCGCCACACCCCCAGCGCGGCAGAGGCTCGTGGAGGGTGAGAAATGGTGAGCACCCACGCCAATTATAGAGGGACAGCCAATGAGAAGGGAGGATGGGGAGAGGGCGGGCCCACATGCTATTTAAGGGCGAGGAGCTCCGCCCCCTGTTGCTACGCGACGGCGGCTGAAGGGGGAGCCGGCCGTCATTAGTGTCCCCAGGCCCCGGGGCCAGGCTGTGGCCGCTGTCGCTCTCTTCAGGCTCGGAGCAGGGCTCCAGGGAAGCTCAGCCGGTTGAGGGTGCAAGGCCGGGGATGGCCAAGAGCATCCCCCAGTCGGGCTGTGTTGGGGCGAGGTGCTGTGGGCAGCGCACCAAACAGACCTCAGTGCTCACAGCTTTTTTATTTGCATGGTAAAAAAACCCTTTTCTGTTTGATAGAATTGCTCTTGTCACCTCTCCCTTTCCTTTCTGGAAAATGCATATATATGTTTTTTTTTTTTTTTTTTTTTGCCTTAAGGCAGCAGAGTGTGTCAGTAAGCAATGTACTTTGGTGCTCTGCAGCAGGTCTGTGCCTCTTCCCCTCCTCCCTGCCTCTGCTGGAGGCCAGGAATGGGAGAGATTTGACAAAAGCTGAAGGAAAGGAAAATGGTTTAGGGAATTGTAGGTAGCTCAGTCAGATTTCAGCATCTGGCAAGATAGGACAGTTTTCTACCAGATACTTACACAGTAAATCATCACCAGCAGGGAAAGATAACCCTGTTTGGCAGAAATAAATGATGGCAATTTAAACTATTTTTCTTCTTTGTAGCTGACAGCAGCGAAAAAGCGGATAGGGCAGATACAGGTCTGGTGTTGCGAGGGTTCGGAGCGCTCCTGCACGATGTGCCCAGAGAAATGCTGAAGAAGATGGGCTTGGGTTGCTTCTCCGCAGACAGGGGACACCGTGGTTCGGTGCTGCACAGGCTTTAACAGTGTTCTTCCACTGCGATGGCCTCTCTCACTGTGGGTGTTTCAGCGGGAGGTTTTACCAGCATCTGTCCTTTCCCCTTTTGTGTACTGTTATAGCACTGGCTGGGGTGAAGGAGTGAAGAACGTGTCTAAAACTTGCTTGTGGTGCCGGATTGAGTTTGTTGGTGAGAGCTTAAGAAGAAAAAGGAGCAAATTTAAATTATTTTAGTAAAATGAACAAACGTTCTTAAATCTGAAGTTCCAAGAAAAGCAAGTACTATATTCAGGAAGAGGAATTTAGGCCCAAAATATGCCCTAATGCCTGCCGGTGTGTCTGCTTCTGCACAGGCTGTCCACTGCAAAGCCTTTGAGAGGAGCCAGCTCCGAGATCCCTCCTGAAGTTCTGGGCACAATCGCAGTATTACCCTTCTTCAGATACTGTCCCTCACAGCCTCATGTTTCCCTCACGCTTGCTGGGAATACACCAAGGGTCCCTTTCCTGAACAGTGACTTGAAACCAAACCTTTCAGAGGAACTGCTGGAGACCAGCAGTGGTGGACTTCCAACAACGAGGACAAGCGATGTGTTACATGGAAGTTTCCAGAGTCAGTCTTCCTTTTCTTGCTCATTTTTGGTGTGAAAGGCAGTAACCACTCCCTCGGTTCCAGGGCACACTCACATGTTTATTGACTTTACTGGGACTGACAAAAGCAGCTTGATGAACTCACTTCAACCAGCATCCCTAAAAAGAGGCTGACAGCACCTCAGCTTCTAGAGCGTCCAGCAGCAAACGGAGCCCAAGGCGATTCCTACAGCACAAAATTACCATGTCCTCCAGCCATTTGGAGCCTGCCAAATCCCATTAGTGCCAAAAGCTAAGTTTGGGGGATAATTAGCATTTGAAGGATGAGCAAATCTATCTGCCCTTCAAGAGGAAGCTTTGACAGAAATGTGTATTTTCCTCAGTGCAAGTCATATGGCACCCAAGCCTAATTATGGAATAATTATAGAGCGATGATGTCTTTTCCTTTTAAAAATGTTGAGAAGCATATTTAGAAACTGTTCACCAATTAAATCTGATCCAACAGAAGAGAACAATGCTGATAGCCAGGAATGCCTGGCATCTCATCCCAGCTTTGACACCTCTTGGTAGCCTTGGAGCGGTATTTCTCTGTGGCTGCTGTGCTAGAAGCCGCCGATGCCACGCCATCCCTCGGGGATGCCAGCACTACTGCTGGCACTTGGCATTTCTAACAGCTCTTCCTCAGTGAGGATCCGACCCAGCTCAAGGGTTGCCGTTGCCAGTCTATTGCACATCACGTTCATGATTTTTGTCAGGGATGGCGAAGGGACATCCCGATGTAGACGGTAGGAAGGAGTTGGGCTGTGAAACGCTGGAGCTGTAGCCCTGGGGTTGGCCCGCTGGGGATCTCGGGCAGCTCTTGGCGTGGTTGGACACAGATGTGTCTGAAGCCACAGTTGTGCCAAAGGGCTCCCGTCTGGACCCTTAACCTCTCGGGGCAGTTTGCATTTGAAATGGTGTCCCGTTGGTTACGGCATCACAGAGGGATGCTGGAAGCATTACAGCTGTGTCATGGAAGAGACTGTTTCTTATTACTTAAATATTTAAGGCTGAATCCGGTGAATGTGGAAGCAGAACGGTCCCTGCAGCCAGTAGATGGCACTGACTCATTTTGCTGCTCTGTAGAAACCTCCCAGTGGTCATGAAAAACATATCTTAAGGTTGAGTAAGGCTCTGGCTTCCTCTTGGAACTGCTTGTACTGGGATAAAAATCCCTTTCTGTGCGCTAAGGAGGTTTTGGGGATCTATTCTGATGAGGTGTAACGGTGGCTAGCGGCACAGACCTTGCGTTTCTCTGAAGCTTTTGCACAGTGCTGTGTCTGATGGTGGCTCTTAGGCTGAGCCTTGTGATAATTTTACCTGACATTAATTTGGAAGATGTGATAAGGCAGATTAGTGCTGTTTCTTTCTGGCTTTCCTGGGCCACGTGTTAAAAGGAAAACCCTTCCAGAATCAAGTCTGACCGTGCTGCGGAGCGGCTGGAGGTGGAGTGCTGTAGGCCCAGCATCCCCACAAGCCTTGCCATGCTGGGGGTGCTGGTGGTCTTTTTTTGTCATTCCCCCCTTCCCAGCCTGGGTTTCATCTCTTTTATTTCCTGTGCTTGTGGGCAGCATCATTGGGGCTCACTGGCTTTGAGTTGTTGAGTTAAACCAAGGCAATGAGGAAGGAGGCAGTGATCTGCTTGAGGAGCATCACTTGTGTAAGGCTCCCTGTTTATACGAGAGTTGTTGTCGGGAGAAGCTACTGGATGCAGGACAGAATCGCATATTGAAGTGTGGGATTTTAATCAATGAACAGATGGGCAAGTAGGAGATCAAATGCCTGGTGGTAAAGCTGTCACCCAGGTCAGAGCAAGGTTGTTGTGAAAAATGGTTCTGACATTCTCAGCTGCACTGTTTGCAAGGCAAATGGAAACCACGTCCCGGATCCAAGTGCAAGACCAAAGGGATTTTTAATTAAAGACAAAATAGAAGGGTAAGCAAAAAGCAAGAGCTAGATTGCACTACGGCGATTAGTTCTAGCGGCAAACCAAAGGCAGTGAGTGAGGGGGTTCAAGGCTAAGTGAATGATTTCAAGCTCTTAGTGCAAACATTGAGAAGCCACAAACAGAAGACTGAATAGATAGCTGAAAACAAAGCTCGGAGAGGGTGCAGGAACAGAGAGAGGGCTTTGTTGGCTCTCTTAACAAATAATGAGGAATGAGCTTCTCAGACAGATTGGTTTGCGGCACTGGGAATAAATGGACAAAGGGAGAACTTTCAAAGCAATACTGCAGCTGTGCGCGACGTTATTTCAACTAAGCTGGGACAGAGCTGTTCTAACGTCAGACCACTAAGCTTGTTTCAACCCGCAGGTCCCAAGCAAAGCCACTCTGCAACATCTGGGTATAATGAGGAATGCAATTTAGAGGGAAGAAGGGAATACGGAGTCCCATCTGTGTGAAAGAAGAGTTCTTTCATTATTGAGCTTGTGGTTAGCACGGTTTTCCAATCAGCCATGTATTGCTGCTGGTTTGAAGGTCTGGAAGGCAGTGGGGCACAGAAATAACCGTCCAACGGGAGCGGCGCACGCTGCTGGGCTGGCACTGTCCCCAGGAAGGGACCGAGGTGGAAATGGCAGCGCTTGGATCACCTCCCTGCTCTAGTATCTGCGAAGGGTTTTCAGTCATGGCGCTGGGAGCTGTGAAGAATGGGGAGCTAACCTGAAAAATCTTGGAAAACAACAACATAGTTTGGGAGAGAGAACATTGTTTCTCATGGCAGTTCCTGTTCTTGCTGCCTGCCCTGCCCTGGTGTAAGAAACATCAGCTTTATGGAAGTTGAGGGCTGTAGAAAGCTGCAGTCATATGTGTTCCTGAGGTTGAAGTGGATGTTTCCTGGGGACCTCAGCCTGTTTCTAACACTGTCTCACTAGGGACTTCTTGGCCATTTATTCGCAGTTCCCGAACCCTGTGGGAGTCCTGCCTCAGAGGGCAGAGTACCTGCCTCCCTGCCCGGGAGAGGGATAAGGCAAGTGGCTGCACATTCATCTCCAGCCTGTCCTTGAAGCTGAGGAGGAAATGC